AGGACGACGGTTGCTCGCGATTCCACGGGGGTTGGCCGACTGGGGCTGGCTGGCTGATAGGGAATTGAGCGGGCAAAAAGTTTCGCAGGCGTAGACGAGTGGCGGGTGAGGCAAGAGAGCGAAACGCCACTCGAACCTAGCTAAGCGACAGTTTGCTTATTTAAGCTCGGCTTAAGCAAAGCTCTCGAACTCGCTGGAACGAGTGAAGGATGGCGCAATGGAAGGCTCGACGAGTGTTGCCAGTTTGCCAATCGTAAGATCGAACTTCCAACTTAGGCTAACTACCGCAATCTTCAGCCCGTGTGTGCGTCAGCCGGTATCCATCGTGTAAACTACCGAATTGCGGATACCGCAACGCTACTTGGCAAATTGCATCGACCTCGTATCGATTCCATCGTCACCCGTGCGCCTCTTAGACTACGTACGCCCTATAAACCCTGCCGTAGTCTCTTCTACGTGCAGCTGCGTGAGGAGCAGATTCGCTGTAGCGAAATCCAGGAGCGCGCCAATTTATTCGCGGGTGAAAATCAAGTTTGAAAGTTATTAATTCTTTTCAGAGGATTACCGGAGGTTAGGATCGTCCCCTCGGAATAAATTTCCCCTCGGTTGGTATGCCTAAATGAAAAACTTGAGGAGAGGCGACGTTAACGGTGCGTTGTCTTTATGAAATTCCGCGCTCGTCTTTTCCCTAGTTCGAGGCGGGGGGCTAACTACGAGATAGGAAAAGTTGCGTAAAATAAATACCGTAACTGGAAACTTTAGTCCGCCACCGTTTTCGGTTCGATCAGACGCTCCGTTCCTCGCGACGAATGTTTCTTTCCCGGCCTAAAGTGGATTCCCGTCATTCGACAAAGACCTCTCCCCCGTTTTTTCCTCCGTCCATTATCCGGTGATAATACCATAGACATTCTATCCAGAAGAAGGTGAAAATTACAGTTCCTTAGTTTACTCAAGCGCGAGGGAGAGAAAAGCGTATTGTCTTTGCTTAACGACAGCATATCCTTTTACGATAACTACGATCGTTAGAAGATGTTCTCGTGCGGCGTGTATAACAATTTCCGCGAATCGTTCCGAGGAAGAATGGCGTCGAGATGAGACGAGAGGAGCCGGCTGGTTACGATTCGAACAGGTTATCGTCCACTTTTTCCCTCGTTTCACGCGATTACCGCAATTCTAACCGGCTGTTTGCACGTGAATAGAAAATAAACTCTACGGTATAACGCGACAGTGGGCTACGTCACCACTGTGATCCGGCAATTCTACGCGTATCTCCTACACAGAGCCAGAGACGCGATAATTAACGATCGACGGTGTACACGTCGCGATTTATTTAACGTTCCATTATGTAAATAACGAAATAATACCGGCGGGCGTGCGGCCGGGTTGCGTAATTCACGTGTGAATGACGGATTGTCCGCGAACGAGATGCGATCGCGACGTCCAACTCCGCAGCGATTCCCGGTTCTGGCCCGTCTTTTTACATGATGTCATCGTCATTTTCATAAGAAGGTAGCGATGCGTCGCGAGCACCGTGTGCCTTAACGGACCGGACCTGTATGTATATCGTTTCGTTGTTTCTGATTGCCAGGCAAAAATAAACTTGTTGTTTAATCCTCGACAGGTATGTCAGCCGCCCGACCCTTAGATTTCTTAGTATGTAGTTCTATTGTACATATTTTTCGCCTTCGCTCGTTTCGTAGCAGCGGTAATTTTATGACGCCACGGCAATCGTCCTCCTTTTCGGTCTAAGAATTTGCTTTTACCTTTTATTGTCTCGTTTTCTACTTAGAATCTTCGCCCCTTTTTTCACTTGTACATTTTTGCATTTTATGGTCACCAGAGCCGAAGCGCGTCTTAACGTTATTGTCTGCTACGGTGATTGTTCGAGGCACTCGGAATTCCCGCGTGCGTCACTCACGAGTACGCTTGGTACCTGAGAGTGACCTATGGTCTGGGGGGGGTGGCATTTTCGGGTAGTTTTTCCCACCTATGATTTAACCAATAGTTTTCGCCAGCCACCATTCCCCACCACTATCGAAAAATGTACTCGACCTATCCGAGGGCCTCACCCCCGCGATGCGTCCTCGCACGGAGGTGTCGTGGGACCTTTCGCGGAAGGGAACATTAGAAGGCATCTGACCACACCAAGAGTCGAGTCACTAGAAGTTTTAGACCATTAGTAATAGTTGTTTGTCCTCCGCCCTAATTCCTTCGAAGACGAACCATTAGACTTAGTTGACACTCCACGTGCAAAATTCGACAAGGCTCGAAAAGTTGATTGCAACGACCATGAGCATATCAGAAACACTTGTGCAAACGGGAATCAAAGGAAGCGAAGGATTCGTGAGAACCATTTACATATTCGCGTTGATTGGCTAACGGTACTTAAATATCGGTGTAACAGATGACTCTGTGAGCGATGTGCTCTATTTAAACACCTCCGAGTCTGGTATGCAAATAAAAGAAGAAAAAAAAAAGAAAAACTTTCCACCCGGATTCAAATATTTAACTACATTGTTCCATCAATCAACGAGGCTAACTCTCTCGAACACGTGAACGTATCGTGAGTTATGTTTAATCTACGGAGTGAATTCGCGTTAAATCGAATGGTATTTACTCCCGCATCGATGACAGGGCGACTTCGTTCGGTCGAATTGGTGTTTGGAAATATGGAAAAGGTTGGAAGGGGAAGTGGTAGCCAAACTGTCGTTGGCGATGCGTAAAACGTACGATTCTCCGTGTAAATGTTCAAGATTTATAGACGATAGTTATTGCCGGGATTAATCGTTTTCTCATTATGATCGCGGCGCACAGTTTCATCGGAGTTGTTGCGTCATCGTCGGGGTTCGAGAGATGATCATTGTTCGAATGAAAAGGCGGTATCGAGCGATATCGTCGATTCCAGCAATTCGGAGAGAGAAACAATGGGGGGCGTATTCTCCGGCGGTTGACAAAACGGAAATACCTTAGGAAAATGCGTTCGTCATCGAACGTCGAAGCTCGCGGCGAAGCGTCATCGGGCAAAATACGCCACTACAGGAGGGAAAAGGAAGGAAAAATGAAAAAGCAGGCCGGTTGGGTTGCTAGGGAACCGACGCGGCGCTTACAGTTTATTACGTCCCCTTGGAAGCAAGATTAATGAACGTATTAATGGCTGGCAACGTAGCCGGAATTCTTCCGCCTCTGGTGTCGCAAAAGAACCTTTACCTTCTTACGGACTACTCGCTACGTCCGGTTATCGTTTCTCCGAACAATCGGCTAACTCGTTCGGAACTGTCGCGTTCGCGGCAAGAAAACGTGCACCACTTAAGATACAAGGACGATAGGAAACTCTCGCCGCTATTTTCGAGGTGAAAAATTCTTAGATAAAGAAAGGCGATACGTACGACGACGAAAACATGAATAAGTTCGGTTGGCGCATTATCGCAATCGTATGTAAGTGCACTACGATATACCCATTTATCAATGATAGATAGCAGGGAGTAACTGAACCGCAAACACCGTCAAGGATATTACACGAAATGACAATTGCTCGTGTCATCGAGTACTACTACGTGGTTCTATTACGCAAAGTTGCTCAAACTTTTCCGAGCAAACTTCGCGGCGAATTACCGGTACACCTATACACCGGTGAGTAATTGGAGAGGAAAGTAGTTTGCTGTTACTTCTCCCTTCCGTTCCTTTCGTTGGAAAAAAAGAGAATATTTATTGGAGGCGTTCAGGTCGCGACAGCCGGAAAAAAGCCGGAAGTTCCATTGTCCGGCGGCGCGGCGAGTTTCCCACGAAATATGATTTTTGCTCAACCGACTGTACGCAACGTGCGCCCGAGTGAAAACCCCGTTTGTCGATTGCCGCACGGTGCGATCGTTGGCGGACCACGGGATCGGGTTATCCATCCAAGCCTTCCGTTCAATCCGAGAGAGAATATTTTCGAGATGCGGAATGGGCGGGTAGGTCTAGGAAGGAGGGTTGACAAGGTAGGAAGCTTGACAACTCGCAGCGCTAATTCTCCGCATAGTCAACAGCGATGCAATAATAATCGCGTAAAATCGAATCGTCCGTGGTAATTTGGGTAACGAGCGTTTTCCCCGTTATGCCAACATAACGGTAGCTGCGTCGAGGGGGTCGAAGAGTTACCGATCCAACGCGTATCCGCGGTCAGTGAATCCGAGTCTGGCGGCTAAGTGGAACGCTATTATCGGTTCGTACGTGCGCGTTGTCACATTATTATATTCTGGCCGCACTCGCTACGAAATAACCAGCGATTCACGGTTTATTAACACGGTGAACGGGTAACGCTGGTTCGTCGTTTACGCGGACAATGTTCGACCCGTTAATAATTTCATTGCGGACGGTGAATCGTTTCGGCGGGTTACAACGGGCCGCGCGAAATGTATTCGGCTTGCAGCAGCAGCGACGGTTGCGGAGAGCGCGAGATCGAGTTTCGAGTAGGAGCAACTGCGGCGGCAACCCCTCACCCGGACGAGTTTACTCAGCAGAAACAAACTGTCGACTAATCTTTAGAATAACCGGGAGAGCAATTAAACCGGCGTCCAACATACGGTTAATTGTAAAAACTGGAGTGGCGCACAAAGGGTGATGCGTACGCGCACTCGGCAAAGCTGCTACCTCGACCGCCGGTTTCGCAATTCTCTTTGCATTTAAAAGATCAAAGGTGCGCCACAATTAGCCGAACGCTATTAAAACGCTGCGGCTAAGCGGAACAACGGCCGAAGGAACCATAGATCGGAACGCGGCGGTGATAAAGTTCGATCGTAACTCGTACGCTAGGTTACTCGCCACGAGCAACGATGGGATGACCTCGACCTTGGCGCGGGCCAGCACGCGGTATCGGAAAAGCTGTCGAAAAAAATTATAGATATTTTCCCAAGGAGGCGCACTTGCGTGGCACCGACGCGGCGGGGAAAATAACAACGACGGGGTGGGAGTTGAATTATAAAAAGACGTTCAACGGTGAGAGGTTTTCAGAGTCACACTGCTTGCATGCAACGGCAAGGCCGAGCCACACGCGCGAGTGTTTACCGCGAGTGTTAGACGAAAAGTCGTTACCGCCGAAAGCCTTTCGCAATCGCTGCTCTACCTGGTGCTCACGTCTGATCGATCGTTCGATCGCTAGTCGAGGTATGATAAGTGTGACCGATAAACTTCCAGCTCGAACAGTGTCTATCCGTCTAACCATCTATCTGACGTTGGGAAAAAGCGCGGCGAGAACGGCAAACAATGAAATATTACTAAACCGCGATTACCGTAGCGGGTCGCTTTTCACGCAACACCTAAATGACAAAACAATCACCGCGTTTTACACGCCGCGCCGCTAGCAAACTGTTTTCTAATAATTATCATTTTCACGCGAATTCTCTTCTTTCTTCTGATTTATTTCTATTCTACCGTTTCAAATATTCATTCTCGCGGTACGTACAGGAAATTCCACCACGTTAATTAGAGGTAAATTAATTAACGCGACTGGTTTGTTAGGTTCGCATTAATTCGCTCATCTCGCTAATTAATACGAATATTTATTTCGGCTTGATTTTAATTTACCTAATTTACCCGTGGTTATATAAACGGCGCATCGAAGATGAAACGATTCAACGTTTATAGAGT